CTGAGGGACTATTTGCTACATAAGGAACATGTTTTCCTTACAGCAGTCTCCTGTACTTATTCTTTCCTGTGTTAATTATCTCTGTCTGTCAGAAATGCTCCCTTATTCTTCTCTTCTGTAGCCCTGCCTGTTAAATTCTAGGTATAATCTTTACGAAGTTATCTGTAGCAATATTTCCTCCATGAGACTTTGCTTGACACCTGTGACCAAAACTATGTTTTCTTTTTAATCCTCTTGGAAAAATTGCTACTGCTCATGTTGAATGATGATATTATAATATCACATATTTTATTATAATCATTTTCTTTTCCTCTCCTCTATGAAATTATCACCATGGCTCCCAGTCGATCATGTGCTCACTGAGGATAGGGAGAATATGTGATTCATTTTTCTCAGCCATTAAGTACATTGCACGGAGGTGATAGTGCAGTGAAAGCCACATGTACCAGGGTTCATAGAGGTGATTTCTCTGTAGAAATTAATTGCCTTCTTCATGCTTTTCTCTAAGGCTACATACTTCTCAAGAATGATTGTAGCCAAGAGGATGGACCTGGACTTTTTAAATCAAGAAGGATCTTTTTTTTCCAGAATGGAGACTTCCAAAATTATCTCTGTGTATTAATTCTCAGGGATTGGCAAACTATAGCAGAAGGACAAATCTACCCCTTGATATTCTGTCAGGGCACAGACATACTCATCTCTTTTAGATTTAAAGCAGCCTTTACACTATACAGCAGAGCTGAGTAGTTGTCACAGAGCTTAAATATTTACTGCTTGAAACTTCAAAAAAAAGTATATAGAACCTAAGGATTAAAAAATTTCAATAGTCAAGTCCATTAGAGAAACAAAATCCTGAGTTTTCTTTACACACAACTTCTCCTGAGTCTCTTATTCCTATTGTGGATCATAAATTTCCATGTTGTTTCCCTGATTTCCCAAAACTCTTTGTGGGAAAAAATATTTTTTGATGATAAAAATCTTTTAATGGATTGTATCTTCTCAGGCACAATGATTTGAGGGTCACCAATTTGTAAAACCTGCCTTAAAAAATGCAAGGAGAATTTGCTATAGTGAATTAGGGATTTTTCTCATCATCTGATATAACTTCCAGTGATTGCACATATTCTATTTATTTATTTTTTCTCATACTATTAAGCAACTTAGAAACTTCACTCACCCATAATAGAAGGCCCATTTATGCTTCCTTGTGATAAATGCTTTATCATAGTTTGTGCAATAAACAAGTGAGGAGGTAATTATCTGAGTGATATGGGTAATTAACATCCACACAGTAGCAATGTACTTGAGAGAAAAATCTATGTTCTTGGATGTAAATTATTTGTCTGATTTTAATAGAGTCAGGAATATCAGGTTTTTGATTTATTACTGTGAAAAGATCACACAATTAAAAACCTTATTAGATAGAAGTAACTTTCTGTATTTTCTTCCTCAAACTTAAAAAAAATGGTTTGCCTCATACCAATTCTGGAAGAATAGTTTCAACTTGAGTAAACAGGTTAATGATGTATAAAGATGTTAAATCAAAATGTATTTTTCCCAGAAGTCTTAGAAGTGTGAACACACTTCATTACTTCTTTCATGTAACCTAACTGTACATATATAAAAATTTTTAATTATGCTAACACATGTATACTCCAAATAGACTACTAGGTTAATCTCACAAAGTTGTATGAACACATAACAGCCTCTTATTTATACAACATGAAACTTCCTTACTCTAATCCCAGGGGAAATATCTGCCTATTATCAAAGGAAAAGTAGCATGAGGTAATAGAAATTTCTATGGTTTTTGAATTGTACTCCATTCAGATCTCAGTCTATCTGCTTGGCTTCCAGAACTTAAGCTTTTACTGGAGAAAAACTCTTCTAACAAATTAAGACTGGGTTTTTAACTATACCCAGGGGAACTTCATCCCCCAGCTTTTCAGTGATATGACTGGGCTCCAGCTATTTCACATAAAATTCTTTCTTGATGGTTTTTAAAATATTCTCTTTGGTCAGTGTTTGGTTTCCTTGACCTAGAGTATGATTGAGAACACTACCAATAATACTTGTCAATGCAAATTGTTACTTTAAATAATTTACATGATAAATACATTTTTAGGGTAATTTTAAAAGGATTCTAAAGAGTTAAATGAGCTATGCAGAATGTTATTAGATTTTAAGTAATGTAATTTGAACAAAGGAAAATTAAGTAACATCTTAATTGCAATATATAGAAGAGATTTTTGCAAGCTTACTGAAATACCTTCTTAATTTAATTGTATTCTTTGTAATTTGTTACATAACTGTGCTTAATAGTAAACAAATTGTACAGGGAGAGAAAAATTTAATTAAGAGTAAAATCAGGATTAAAAAAACCTTGAAATAACACAAAAAGGAAGCTATAGGATGTTTTATATATATACATATACACACATATAGAATGTATATATTAGAAGTAAAAAAGGGTGGTAATAAATATATATGTATAGATATGATATTATATATACATATATCTGTATATTTGTATATATATTTACACATACATGTTTATTAGTACACTTTTTGATTTCTAATAAAAATTATTTATAATGGATACATCTTTATTGGTGAATATCAGAACATACTCCAACCATATACCCAGAGGGATAGGTGAACATAAAGAATACTAATTCTCATTCTTAAAATAACTTATTATACTGCAGGAGAGAGTACTGAGATCTGTCATATATAAGAATGTTTTAAAAGTTTTTACACAAGTCTAGAATTGTCTGTCTTTATGTAAGTAAGTATATATGTATGTATGTATGTATGTGCCTAATTACCTACCTATACATTCCTTTACATGCAAACATATGAGACATGTATGTCACTAATAATTCTTAAGATTATAGGCTATTTACACTATATTTTTGATTGAATGGTCTGAGAAAGTTTACTATGAGTTGCCTTGAAACAGGTAACAAAGTAGAACATGAAATTAGTTTATTTTCAACTATATTTTGTGCATATTCACATTAAAAATGATATCATAATTTTAGAACATTTGATATGATCCTTTGCATAAAAAACTAATCAGAAATATAATGTCACACTGAAATTTAATTTGCTTATATGAGGAATAAAGTTATGGTTGAAGATATAAAACCTCAGCTGCATTCAAATATAAATACAGACACATGTCTTATATGTATAGAAAAGACCTACAAGACTTTAAAAGCTGGGACACATTTTTTAAAACATTGGATTCATAATTATAAAAACATGGTTATTTAAAATATTTATTTTTAAAATTCTACAAATCCCTCTAAAAACTATTTTTTATTATTGGTTCTTTAATTTTATTTTCATCTAACAATACATACATAAATATTGACTAGATTTTGAAAATTGTCTAAGCCAATTTTTCTCTTTAACTTTTAAATATTTAAATTATATCTTGACAAATTATAGTTGTATATGTTCATGGAGTACAAAGTGATATGATAATTTTAACCTATAGAACAATGATTAAGACACATTATTAACATATCCATCAGCTCAAATATTTAACATTTTTGTGATGACAAATCTGAATTTATTCTAAAAGATTTTGAAATGCACAACACTCAGTTATTAGGTGTATCCACCATGTTGTGTCACAGTTATAAGAAAGAACATCAAGAGTTTCTGCGAATAAAGGAAGCCCAGTGACAACTGATTTTTATGTCACATTTAGAGTTATATTTCAAAACTATAAAACTTTAATAATATTGCTATTATCAATATTTTCAAATAGTCTATGTGAAAATATTTATGGAGTGTCTGCTTTTCCACAGCATTATGACAGAATCTATAACTGTACTTCTGGACCAAACTGTGCTTCTAAAGCCTACATTCTACTAGAAGCAAGAGATAATTTGAATGGATAAGATAAGTAGTCAGGTATGGGCATATATACATATAATGTATGCATGTCATGAATCAAAAACTATAATTAGGTATATTTTCTTTATAAACTTTTGATATTCTGAAATATTGTTCAAAAAAAAAATTTTGTGTGTGCCAGGGATTGAACCCAGAGGCACTTAACTGCTTGACCCCTAAACAACGTCCCCAGCCCTTTTTATCTGTTTTATTTTGAGATAGTTTCTCACTAAGTTGCTTAGGGCCTCTCTAAGTTGCTAAGGCTGGCTTTGAATTTGTAATCCTCCTGCCTCAGCCTCCTAAGCCACTGAAATTATAGGCATGTACCACTGCACTGAGCTTATGTCTGAATTTTAACTAAGCTATTTAATTTTGAATTTTCATTATTAGTACCTTGACTCATTAGCAGTATTTTATTTTTGCACCTTTTCCCATCAGAATCTTTTTCTTTTTCTATTTTTATGAATTTAAATATTATTAGAGAACTAAAATACATTCTTCCTCGCTTTCATTGATGTAATTGTTAGCCCAATTTTACCTTAATTCCTATTTTGTTACTCTGAATTTCTAAAAGCCATTTCGTCTGCAATGAAAACACAAGCCTCACTTCAGAAAAACATAAAAGAAAATTGATTTTCATCCTGAAAATGTCAAACTTCTGCCTATAATACTCAGATATGTTTCTCTGCAACAACAGAGTTCAAAAAGAGCCATCGACCTGATGGCTCTTTGACACACAATGATGGATGCAATGTGTCTACTACTTTACTGCCTGAATGTCCTCCAAGAGAATGAGTCAATCAATGAGTGGAAGGTTTGCTTGTTTTAAATATATTAAAGGAGAAACAAGTGGTATTTCACTTCTGTGTGAAATTTTAAAAACTTTGTGATTAAATCTTTTCTCTCCTCCCAGCTTTAGATGAATCAGATATAAATATATGTTCTTAAAAATTTGAGCAATGTCTGGAAATTCAATACCCTATGTGCTCATTGAAATTTCTGAGAGACCCAGGCAGAATGCATTGTTACAATATAAAAGTAAAAGGAAACGATATAAAAGTACAACTTTGAGGAAAACCACTGCTACTTACTGGTGCTGTTGTCTTATCCCTCTGTCACAGTTTCTGGCAACTTCAACTGTTTCTAGTGAATGAAGCTTCCATTTTCCTATAGGACAGAGTTATTGATCAATACTTTATTAAAAAGTCTTGTATTCAAGTTCATAACAGAAGAGCAATTTATTTCCTTATACATTATATACAAGCTTAAGACAAATTATTGCAAATTATAAGAAGGAAATCATGCAAACTTAAAGGAAAGTTTTGGACACAAAAGTGTTGGATAATTCTCAGTTCAAACATAACCCTCACCCACTACAGTTGTGCATACTAGTAATCCCAGCAGCTCACCAGGCTGCTGCAGGAGGGTTGTAAATTCAAAGCCAACCTCAGCAACCTAGGGAGACTCCGTGAAACTTAGAGGGATCTTGTCTCAAAGATCTTGTCTCAAAGATCTTGTCACAGGCTGGGATGTGGCTCAGGTTTTAAGTGCCCTGGGTTTAATCCCTGTTAGTAAAACAACCAAACAAAAAAAAACTTATCCCTCACTCTGTATATTGTCATTTTACCCAGGTTATATTTGTACTTAGGATATGAAAAATTACTTTTAGATACATTTTTGTATATGACCAGTCTCTATCATTTCACCAAAGTCCTAACAAGGGAGCATTGAATAAATTCTCCTTAAATGAAACTTTAAAAATATATTGTTTATCATGTAATATAGATTCAAGACCATCAAAGGACACTAAGTAGATTACTTTTGAGTCTATAACATCTTTTAGGTTTGAGAGTTTTGTCCTATACCATTATTACCTTAGTGTCACAATTTTTATATGTATGTTTGTCAAAGGAGAAATAAATAATCTTATGGTAATGCAATGCAAAATCTTGAGAAAACTTAAATATTACTATTATTCCTACTGTTTTTGATATTCCTCAAAGTTGGAGATTATTTCTTAATTATTCATATATCTTATTATATTTCAGGAAATAGGTACAGAAATAGATAGAAATAGGTATATTTTGTTTCAAACATCTAAACATATTCTTTTACAATTGTGCAGAATATAGGACTTCAACAAACATACTTAATTTATGGAAAAGAAAATCTATGACTTGTTTCCTGCAACCAAATTTTATTTGTTTTCTATAGAATAATAGGAGGCAATTAAAAATACAAAAATGTTACTTTAAAATTATTCCTATAAATGATGTACACTAAAATACAACATAAAAGATAAATAATTATAAAAATCTAGAAGACAGTTAAAGTTCATGTTTACATGAATATATAAAACTCTCTAAACAAAATAAGAAGAAAATTCATACATCAATTTTATGCTGTAAATATTAATAAATAACCTCTTTAAAGGAAGAAAATGAGGCGGACAATGCTCAACATTTAAAAAAAATTAGCAGCATATTCAGCAACTTTTTTTCACAATAAAATTTAAAGTTAAAACAATTGATAAAACATATCAGTAGAACTTTTTCAACCAAACTATGGATGATGTTTAATAGAATCTTCAAAATTTTTCCACTACCACGCCCTGCTCCTAAGCCTACTGTGTGGCTCCCTGGTAGCATATAGGAACTTTTTTTTTTTTTTTTAACAACTTCAAGGCTTCATGGAACACATTTTGGAAACTCCTTACAAAATTAGGTTATTGCAAGAAACTAAATAAGATTGAGTTTTTTTTTTAAGTGGTTTAAACAATAGTAGTCACAATAGGAAAAAAAGTTATTACAGAGATTTCCTGATTGGACATTAGTTTTAGTGTAGCTTCAAGGAATAGAAATAGCCAGATTTTCCCTAAGGGTTCTTTATATCTCTTATAGTGTTGAAACTCCAATTAGTCCCTTTCTAAAAGAAGTTATTTTGTATTGTGCTTTGAGTCTATTTGGTAATACAGTGAAGTTGCCCACCAGGATTTCTGAGTAATGATTACACTTTAATATAATACAGTAGAAACTGTAGAATATTATAAATTAGCACTTAGAAGATTTAATGAATCCACATCAGGAGCTAAAAGATGAATGAAACACTAGCTTGCATAATTTCAGCATACATAAATTGTGATTCTGCAAAAAAAAAATAATTTCATGTGATTGTGCATATACTTTCTTGAAATAACTACAAAACCAAATAATTTCTTAAAATGCTACTTTTTAAAAACATTTCTGTTACCTAGATTAGAAGAACAATAAATCGGAGCTTATATAGAGAATGTTAGATTTTAATGAATTAATAGCTTATACATTTTCAGAAACTGAAAATGTTTATGAAGTAATATCTTAAATTGGTAAAATGAAGTAATATCTTAGAATTAGTACCAATCTCTAAAGTATTTCATTTAGGGGAGGAAGATAGCGGGCCAGAGAGAGGCAGAATTCTGTGTTGCTCTGTGATCTAGATATCACCGAGTCAGAATACTACATCTCTGAGTTGGTTCCACAGTCTAGCAATTGTGAATTGTGCTGCTATGAACATCGATGTAGCAGTATCCCTGTAGTACGCTCTTTTAAGGTCTTCAGGGAAAAGTCCAAGAAGGGCAATAGCTGGGTCAAATGGTGGTTCCATTCCCAGCTTTCCCAGGAGTCTCCATACTGTTTTCCAGATTGGCCGCACCAGTTTGCAGTCCCACCAGCAATGTACAAGAGTACCCTTTTCCCCACATCCTCTCCAGCACTTGTTGTTGTTTGACTTCATAATGGCTGCCAATCTTACTGGAGTGAGATGGTATCTTAGGGTGGTTTTGATTTGCATTTCTCTGACTGCTAGAGATGGTGAGCATTTTTTCATGTACTTGTTGATTGATTGTATGTCCTCCTCTGAGAAGTGTCTGTTCAGGTCTTTGGCCCATTTGTTGATTGGGTTATTTGTTTTCTTATTGTTTAATTTTTTGAGTTCTTTGTATACTCTGGATATTAGGGCTCTATCTGAAGTGTGAGGAGTAAAAATTTGTTCCCATGATGTAGGCTCCCTATTTACCTCTTTTATTGTTTCTCTTGCTGAGAGAAAACTTTTCAGTTTAAGTAAGTCCCATTTGTTGATTTTTGTTATCAACTTTTGTGCTATGGGTGTCCTATTAAGGAATTTGGAGCCCGACCCTACAATATGTAGATCGGAGCCAACTTTTTCTTCTATCAGACGCAGAGTCTCTGATTTGATATCTAGCTCCTTGATCCACTTTGAGTTAACTTTTGTGCATGGCGAGAGGAGGGGATTCAGTTTCATTTTGTTGCATATGGATTTCCAGTTTTCCCAGCACCATTTGTTGAAGATGCTATCCTCCCTCCATTGCATGCTTTTAGCTCCTTTATCAAATATAAGATAGTTGTAGCTTCTCTGAGATGCAGCTGCTCTCCACAGAAATCACCAGCACTGTGACCCCATGCAGGGCTCCCCACCTCAGCATTCCAGTAGGATGCTGGTCTTTGAGCAGAACCCAAAGCCCAAAGTTCTAGCCCACACAAGGCTCGGAGAGCGCCTTAGAAGAATCACCTATCAAAACATCTGCAGATTGGCAAGACTTCACTCTACTCCCATGCAGGTCACTTAGCTGCTACCAGTCTACAGCATAATACCATCGCCCAGCTTCCCCCACCTCACCAGACACCCTGGTGCTGAAAGCAGATTGCCTCCATCTTGGTGCAATATTCTCACCATAATAGGTGGGGGCAGCTCTCAGATTGGATCTCCAGTGACCAGGTACCAGCTTTCCAATCTTCCTCCCTCCCCAGCGGCAGTAACCCAACACAGTATCTGCCCAACAAAGGTGTGCAGTGCGATCAGGGAACTGCCCAAGGGAGCCCTGGTGTAAGTGTTTCCTTAATTGGGAACTGCTAAGGGAAAGGGAGATGGGGCTAAAATTTGGAGCCTAACAGAGAGAACAGAAACTTGGAAATCTCCAGGCAAAATAGGGAGGTAGTACCAGGTGCTCAAATTATATGAGTGGTCATAAAAAGAGACCTGTGAGGTGCAGCCACCCTGCAGGGTCTGGTGGGTGCCTCTCCCTGCTTCCAGGTAACCTATGCCAGGACCAGTCTTCCCACCCTAGTTACCTCCAACATCCTGGGGGCAGAGACACCAGCTTACAATAGACGACCCAACTTGTTGGATGAGAAGAGAAGCAGGAAAGCTATGGATCTCTAAAACTAGCAACAACCCTGTTTTCTTCCTTCTGAATTTGTTTTTTTCTCTCTCTCTTTTACCCCTCTGTACTCTAGCCATCATATCCCCAACATATGTGAAGCCAAGAATTTCCCAAGAAATAGGATTTTTGAGGACCGAGTCATCTGAATAATATAACATAGAAGTGTTGTATATACCATTTTTTCTTTTCCATTTTCTTCTTTCATTTTTCTTTCCCCCTCCAAATTTTACTATTTTAACAATTGTGTGTTTGTTTTATATACTCTACTATTTTCCCAAGGACTTTCTTACTCTAAATTACTTCCTCTTGCTACTAATCTCTTCATTAGATTTCTCTTTCACACATCTTAAGATATATTAACTCTATATCCTTACATTCTACCTCCTTAGCATATCATCCTATGTCCCCACCCACAGTTCATTGTCTGTTGTCAGAAACTATAAACCTTTTTACAAAACTATTGATTATATTTTAGATAATAATTGAATCCAACATTTTTGTACATTGAGATGTAAACATCTTAATAATAACAAATTGTTCATAGGTGGTATATTGTTGATATTGGAATTTGTTAACATTGTCTTTCCCCACAAAGGAGAGGTCTTGGAACCCTAAAGAGCACTACAAACCTATCGGGTAAAAACAGTAACACTCCAGTCCTACAGAGCTGGAAAGGAAGACAAACGAGCAACATGAAAAGACAAGGGAAGAAAGTGTCCCAGACAAATCAAGACACAACATCATTAGAACCATTGGCAGCCACAGCAGAAGAAATTACAGAGAAGGAGTTCAGGATGTGCATGTTTAAAATATTCTGTGAACTCAAGGAAGATATAAGAGAGAAAATATAGGTAATGAAAGATCATTTCCACAAAGAGCTGCATAAACAAATACAAGAAGCAAAATATCACCTCAACAGGAAGATAGAGGTTCTAACAACAACAACAAC